AACGCATTAGCTTTTCCTACATTCCATAAAGCTTCAATTTAGATAATAGAACAATCATGATTAACACAATCAAAGGCTTTATTTAGGTCACAAAAATGCCTCCATCTGGTGTTTTATTATTCAAAGCCTTTAATATTTCATTAATTAAATTATATGAAGCAAGTTCTGTGGATGAATCACACCTGAAACCATATTGATGATTGGATAATATATTGTTAATCTTTATGTGACGGAGCAATCTTACAAATATAACCATTTCAATAACTTTTAAAAAGGATGTAAGTAACAATATGAGTATATAATTCATCATATTCGTTTTATCACCATTTTTAAATAATGGTATTATTTCAGAGTATTTCAAATGAGTGGGGAAAACACCTGTTGAAATTACTCTGTTACAGATATAAGTTAAAGGAGAACTAATAGCAGATACACTAATTTTTAGAATATTAACCGAATTTTCATGTAATGTAATGTAATCTGATCTGAAGGCCCGATGATCAACTTTTGAATTGGTTGTGCTTAATATTCGTGTGTTAAATGGGTCTGTTGTCACCGTGGTATGGTATCCTCAGGTTATCGTTGTTGTCTTTTAGCACCCACTGCAGCATAGGGCATTAACAGAATGTTTCCATCTCGCACGCTTCTTGCTGAGTCGTTTCATTTCTCCCCATGTCTTCCCAGCAATCAAGGGTTCCTCTCATACTGTTCTCTGCCAGCTCCTCTTTTCTCCTGTCCATGTGGGTTCCACTCTATAGCCTCCTCCTCAGTTACATTTTCTTTTTGAAGAGTGTGGCTGATCCAGTTCCATTTATGTCTGGTTATCTGTTCAGTTACTTTCGTTTCATTTGTCTGCTTCCATAGTTCATCATATGTTATAACTGGCCAGCTGAACTTTGCTATTCTATGGAGGCATCGATTTACAGAACTTTGAAATTTTTTACGGTTTCCTCAGGTTGTATGTGGAGGATAGGTGCAAATATATTGTATAAACCATCATGGACAGCCAGTGAGGTGTGGTTCTCTGTATGGAGTGTTGGACAGGGTCTAACAGCTCTGTACCATAACAACTCAACATGTTCATAAATGTTACACAGGGCCTCAGATTTGGACAGATTCATAGGATTGATCTCAGAAACAGAAAATGGATATAAAGAAATAGGATGGAGGAGTGTGGGCAGGATTAATGTGGGTCAGGATGTTGACCAGTAGCAGGGTCTTTTGAACTTTGGGTTCCATAGAATGCTGGAAATTTCTTGAGCAGCTGAATGATTATTACACTCTGAAGAGGGACTTAGCTCCTTTAATTTTAATGCTGTACTGCCAGACAGTTAATTAGAAAGTCACATTAAGCCACGCTAAAGAGAAATTTACTATATTAATAATATGAAAAGATGTAAGATTTTATTTACTTTAATTATATAGTCATCTAGATGTTTAATTACAGTGTACTCAAGAGCCTTTTGTCTACTCGTCTACTGTCTAAAAACATAAAAATTAGAATCTATAAATTATAATTTTGCCTGTGGTTCTGTATGGGTGTGAAACCTTGGCTCTGACGTTAAGGGAGGAATGTAGACTGAGGGTGTTGAGAATATTTGGACCTAAGAGAGATGAAGTGACAGGAGGTTGGAGAAAACTGCATAATGAGGAGATTTATAACTTGTATGCTTCTGCAAGTATAATTAGAATGATCAAGTCAAGGAGGATGAGATGGGCAGGGCATGTAGCATGAATGGGAGAGAGGAGATATGAATATAGGATATTGGTGGGAAAGCCAGAAGGAAAGAGACAATTGGGAAGACCAAGCCGTAGGTGGGTGGACAATATTAAAATGGATTTTGGAGAGGTAGGATGGGATTGATCTGGCTCAGGACAAGGACCAGTGGAGGGCTTTTGTGAACATGGTAATGAACCTTTGGGTTCCATAAAATGCTGGGAAATCATCGAGTAGCTGCTCAGTTGGCAGCTTCTCAAGAAAGGCTCAGCTTGTCAGTAAGAATGTCCTTGTTCAGGGTGAGAAGAATTATAAATTTATCTTCTGTAAGCATGTGATGCTATAATCAAATACTTGTTATATCTTCAGGACATTGTCCTGGTGACTGAAGTGCGACTGTCATCCAAACCTGACACATCAGTTCTGGAGTTAACATGGAATCCTGGTATTACAAATATTTTGGCTGCCTGTCTGTCTGATGGAAGCATGGTGGCTTATGAACTAAAGTCCTCTGGAGTTGATATCAGTACTCTTCCACCTGCTACCCAAGCAACGTGAGTATCCTTGCAAGCAGTTATTATGTATTCTTTGTTAAAATATGTTCTAAATGAGTATATGATGTTCCTTTGTAATTAGTAATATCTGATTCATAACTAATCGAAAGTTGATTGTTATTTTTTTTTCAGTTGCTTCTGCTGGAGTCCTAAAGGCAAGCAGCTGGTTGTTGGCTGTGAAGCTGGAACACTAACACAATACAAACCAGACTTGAAAGCTGTGAAGACTTTTTCACCTCCAAATCTTGGGAGTGGCTCTGTGTCTGTTGCTAGTGTACTCTGGCTGTCCAACTATCAATTTGCAGCTATATACAGAGATAAAATCAACACAGATGAGCGTCCAGGTACTGTAATATTACTTATTTCAGTAAGTTATAGAGTACTTCAGGTTCAGAAACTGTTTTTCTTGTCTTGCTGTAAAATATTCTCTCAGTTAGAATGTATAAATAAATCCCAATGTTGTTATGACCTGCAATAATGAAAACTAATCTAAGTGACTTACTGGCGTTTCCAGAATTACAAACACAAGATTAACCTCACGACTTGATGCAACCTTGATCACGTCGTGAGGGCACTCTTACTTACTGGCGTTTCCAGAATTACAAACACAA